GTGTGTGTGTGTGTGTGTGTGTGTGTGTGTGTGTGTGTGTGTGTGTGTGTGTGTGTGTGTATGTGTGTGTATGTGTGTGTGTGTGTGTGTGTGTGTGTGTGTGTGTGTATGTATATATATAATACAAATTGTATATATATATATATATATATATACATATATATATGTATATATAATATATAATATATATATATATATATATATTATATATATATATGGTGTGTGTGTGGTGTGTATATATTGTGTGTATATATATATTATATATATATATAATATATTATATATATATATATATATATATATATATATATATATATATATATATATATATATATATATAATATATATATAATATATATATATATATATATTATATATATATATGAAACTAGTCACAATGAGAAATTGTGACGTTTCGAACTCTTCACGAGTTCCTCATCAGACAAAGACCGGTTTTTCTCTGATGAGGAACTCGTGAAGAGTTCGAAACGTCACGTTTATTTTCAATTTCTCATTGCGGCTAGTTTCATTTTCATTTTTGTGCTCACGTGATTATGTTTGTGCTTGTGTTCATATATATATATATAATATATATATATATATATATATATATATATATATACATACACACACACACATATCTGGGCTGAAATAGATTGACAGATGCATGGATGGAAAAGAAAGAAAGAAAAAAAAGGGCTAGAGAAAGAGATAGATAGATAGATATACAGAGAGAGCGCGAGAGGAGACAAAGGAATATACAGACAGAGGGGGAGAGACAACTAACTTTGATTCCGCAAAAAGGCGATCCCGATCATTCCATATCATTCCGTAACGCCGCTCATATCGGATCGCTGCATTGCGTGAAAGCCCAGCTCATGTCAAGCCCTCATTATCTCTGAAGCTGAAATGAAGCTCTCGATTAATCCCAGAAAGAAAAATCAGGAGCGTTCGGCGAGAGGAAGGAAAAAAAAGAAAAGGAAAAAAAAAAGAAATGTCAGACCGAATGGAAAAAAAAATGGCGATTATCACTTGCATTTGATTGAAGGATCTCGTTACCCCGGTTCAGATCCGCGAGACTTACGCTTTGAATTCGACAGGAAGGAAAGGTATTTTTGGGGAGCGAAGTTGACGAAAAGCAAAGTGCAAGTGAGCGGCATCAGAAATTGCAGTTGGAGAGAGTGACTGTGCACAACTTCAGTGATAGTAATACACGGGGTATTATCTTGTGCACAGATATTTTGCAGTCCGTTAAAATGCAATCAACGTGTAACTCACTTTCCTGCTTATGTTTAAATACATGCATAATGCCTCATTGTTATGCTTTGCATTTGCACGAAGTTTCTTGTCATTTGCATAGACAGGCGCGGAATACCTGTGCCTCATTTTAAACCACTTTCACTCATGTCAGGACAAAGCAACTTTATTGTAAAAAGGAATACCTATTATGAAAAGAGATGTCGAGCAAAAACTGTTTGTGCGTTTTTACTTAATTTATCTGTTATAATCCTTTGTTTCGTCTTGGTTGATGAAAATAAAGGATCATAATACAGTTCCATTACTCTGATCATATAGGACATACATAGCCCTAATCATGCATGGAGTCTAATTACTTGTAAATAAAGAAGTCAGCCTTTTCTATAATTCCATAGAGCCTCACTTTTTATTCAGTATCTTTCTCTTTCTCTCTCTCTCTGACTCTCTGTCTCTCTCTCTCTCTCTCTCCCCCCCCCCCCCTCTCTCTCTCTCTCTCTCTGTTCTCTCTCTCTCTCTCTCTCTCTTCCCCCCCCCCCCCCCCCTCTCTCTCTCTCTCTCTCTCTCTCTCTTTCACACTTCAGTAGCTTTTTAGTCCTAGCCCATCGACTATGTATTATTCACATGCATTTACCGCGAACACACCAGGTTCCTCCTCGGCGCAGCATGCACATGAGGGCTCACGCGGGCAGCGCTGGCCACCACGCAACAGGCCATGAGGACGCGGCATTAACAGACTGCTGAGGACGCCAGCGAGTGAGGCCGCTTGACTCTATCTCTAATATCAGTTGGATAGGAAAGATAAGAGGATTATAAGATTTTTTTTTCTTTTTTTTTGTGAGGTGATTAAGTGAAGCGCAAATTCGATTAAAAAGGGAAAAGGCGATTATGTGTATTGCGTACTTTGTCTACTTATCGAATGGTCTGATTATATTCAGTATCTATTTATCTACCTAATATATCTATCGCTCTGCCGATATATGCATGTATATGTATATGTATATTTATGTTTATCGGTCTATATAAGCACAGCTATCTGTTTATTTCTATATGGAAGTATGTATATGTATCAACAGTAGGAAAAGCCTCCTATTATCGTTAATAATTTCTAAAGATCTAGATGACACCATTGCCATTCAGATTTACGGATTAGGTGGCAACGTTTCCACAAAAGAGAAAGAGATACTGATGTTGATGAAACATGGATTGCGATAGTTCATGTTCATTCGTAGTTCATCTCCAATTTAGCCGGGTTTCATGACTCCAGGAATTGAATACGAGGAATATATAACGAGGGATGTGTCTTAATTGCCTTTTAACCTTTAGATAAACTTTACAATAAATCAAGGTAAAATCAATAGCATTCACACGATGGGAAATGAAATAGAATAAAAAGGGAAAGTTTTGAGACAGTTTTAAAGTTGAAATCTAGGCGGCCGTTATCTACATTTCATTAGATAACACATTCGCGCTGTTCCCTGAATTTGCAATGCAGTTTGGTAAAATAATTGAATGGCCCTTTCTCATATGTATCTGAGCTCGCCTGCCCTGTTAGCCGGGGTGGTTAATTAGTTACCAAATTAAAACTAGTGTCAGGTAGGTAAAATAAAGTTAGTTAGATATGATGATGTAATGTTACCAAATAGGTTAATGGCGAATAAGTTACCAAATTAAAACTAGTGTCAGGTAGGTAAAATAAAGTTAGTTAGATATGATGATGTAATGTTACCAAATAGGTTAATGGCGAATAAGTTACCAAATTAAAACTAGTGTCAGGTAGGTAAAATAAAGTTAGTTAGATATGATGATGTAATGTTACCAAATAGGTTAATGGCGAATAAGTTACCAAATTAAAACTAGTGTCAGGTAGACTAAATAAAGTTAGACATGACGGTGCATGACGTGTATAGACGGCCTTCCAGCACCGTCGAGGCAGAAGTTTAGTTTGAAACTTGCATGACTGCGGGAAATGTTCACAAGTTCAATATCGACATTGCTGTGCTTTTGCGGGTTAGAACTGCTTCTTCACTGATGTGTAGAAATAATGAGAAAATTTATCAGTAGTGTAGGGGCTATAGGTGATATACTTCTCTCTCTCTCTCTCTCTCTCTCTCTCTCTGATGATGATATATCCTTTCGCCGTTATGTACCTCGTTAGCATTACATGTAAATGC